CCCCCTCCCCCTCCCCTCCCCCTCGCCCTCATCCTGCTCACTCTCCCTCTTCCTTGGACAGGGCCCTGGACTTCGGGTACCTGACCCAGGACATGATTGATGACTATGAGCCGGCCCTTATGTTCACCATCCCGAGGCTAGCCATCGTGTGGTGAGTGTGCCTCCTGCCTGGGAGAATCATTTTGCAGAAGCCTGGTAGGACTGTCACGTCTGATGGTGCCAGGCCCCTTCTGCTGATGTGGGCGCATGGGACTTCCACCTGCTGAGCTGCCCCAGATCAGTCACCAGGCAGTCCGAATGTCAGTCCTCAGGTGAGGAGTGATCTTCCACTCCAAATAGTGTAAGGTGACCACAGACCTGATGCCCACCACTGGACAGGTGAGATGACGGCAGCCGCGGGGACCATGCAGGGCTACTTGGGGGCTGCACTCAGGAACAGAGTGACCACTGAGGGATATGGGAGCCAGGCTTTGCAGTAATAAGAGGGTGAGATGCCCTCTGGTTCTCCCCGGCGGATATGATTGGTTTGTTTGAATAATTTGAGGACTGGCAGGGAAGTGAAGCCCGTTCAGTTGAAGACCTGTCAGGGGCAGCAAGTCTGGCTGACAGTAGAGCCTTTCCTGCCAGGCAGAGGCATATCTGGGAGAGCAAGGAGCTCAAGAAGGGGCTCCCAGATGTAAAGGCAACACATGGAAGTTTAGGTCTTAAGTACCCCAAGCAAAAAGTGCTGGGTCACTCGCTGAACATTCCTGAGCTTCATGGGGCCAAGGTCAGAGCCCGGACGTCCTAGGGCTTGGTCCTCTGCTGCTCAGACACCCTGACTCTAGACAGACTCCTCTTCCCTCCTGCTGGGTGGGTGATCATGGGGGAGAAGGAGGTGTAGATGGGCCACAGAGAGCTCCAGAGAGGGGCCTGCTGGGCTTGCAGCCAGGGAGGTGGCCCGGTGGGCAGCAGGCCTGCAGGTGTGGGAGATGGAGAGTCCTCGGGACGGATGCCTGTTGGAGACATGGACATCAGTGAAGCATCAGAGGGAGTGTGGGGTGGGCACGGAGGCCAGCACTGGCCCAGGCTCAGGCCACAGAGAGGCCCCATTGAGAGCCCCAAAGGGGTCCCAGGCCAGAAGCATATGCAGCAGTGTGCTTAGGCAAGCACAGCCCTCTCCTGTGGGAAATGGAGATGGAGAGGTGGAAGTTGGGGGGGAGGGGGAGAGTGGTGGCAGTGCAGTAGAAGAGGCCAGCTGCCTAGGCCTACAGAGGAGAGGGGTGCGTCCTCAACCCAGGATATAAGCCAAGCACCATGTGCAGAAGTTGGAGAGTGAATGGGCCGGGGCACTGAGGCCAATCCGGACCCTGCTCTGGGCCAGGCCCTGTGCTCACCTGTGTCCTCAGAGCTGCCTCCTTGAATCTCTGGGGTGGTCTCCGGATGCTGCTGGGCCTGGGGGCTTTCCCAGAGCCCCCCTGACAGCTCAGTGCCCTGGCCTTGCTCCTTGTATTGTCTTCCCAATTTTCTTACCGTTTTCTTCTTCTTTTTTTTTTTTTTGAGTTGGAGTCTCACTCTGTCGCCCAGACTGGAGTGCAGTGGCGTGCTCCCGGCCACCACAGCCTTGATCTGCTGGGCTCTGGCGATCCTTCCGCCTCAGCCTTCCAAGTAGCTGGAACTACAGTCACGCACTACCACGCCCAGCTGATTTTTTGATTTTCTGTAGAGATGAGGTCTCGCCAAGTTGCCCAGGCGGGTCGCGAACCCGCGGGCTCAGGCAATCCACTCACCTCAGCCTCCCAAGGCGCAGGATTACAGGCTGAGCCACCGAGCCGAGCCCGGCTTTCTTCTTTTACAAAGTCAGCAAACCAGAAAAAGCAGGCCCGAGTCATATCGCACCAGAGGGGATACTTTAAAATCCTCTTAATCACTGGAATTTGGGAATTTCCCTTTGCCAGAAGATGAAGGAGTTGGAGGGCGGAATGTCCCCAGTGGCCAGTGACATTTCCCCAGGTGTCCTGATGGTGGGGATACCACCCCCAACACAGAATACCACCTTGAATAGGCCGCAGGATTTGGTTGCATTCTTTTCTTTCTAGGCACAGGTCTCTGTGGCCAAAATCATTTTGAAGAAAACAATGACCTTTTGGGGTCCTTACTCTTCTTTGTTTAAAGAGCAGAACAGCAAACCTCCTTGAGTCGGAGCCTTTCTTTTGCCAGTGGGAGTGGAGTCCCCTTTGTCCCAAGGCACTGGCAGCTCTGAAGTTTGGATGCCTTCGGGAAACACAGAGGACCCTGTTCTTTTAAAAATTCTCTGTGTACTGGCACAACGAATATTTGTATACCTAACCCTGAATTGTACCCCACAGTTTGAAAATAAAAGAGGGCAAAAAAATTCTCCGTGAGCTCTGATGCATAGCCATGTATCCACTTACCTCATGTGGACTTGCTAGTGGGCTCCCAGCAAATTTCCTCTGAAAGCCCCAGCGTGGGGTTTGCAGGGAACGTGGGGTACACAGGGAATGCTGGGAACACAGGGGGCATGGGGTGCACAGGCGATATGGGGCACATGGGGACGTTCAGCCTGTGTTGAATCCCCCCCACCCCCGCCCCGCCCAGGTTAGCACTCCCAGGCATGCTGTGTTTCTGGACTTTCACACTGAGTCTGCTGCCGTGCTTGCTCAGGCACAGGCGGCCATGGGACAGCAGCCCCCTCCCTTGGCCAGAATTATTTGTGCTGTTTGCTGATCTGGGTTCACTCACTGGTGGCTGAGCCTTTGCTCCTCCTTCTGTCCTGTCTGGGTTCACAGCTTCCCAGGAGCCTTCATCCTGGAAGAAGAGTGGGACCAGGGCCCTGTGGGAAGGGGCTTTGTCCCAGGGGTTTCCTCAGGCTCAGGGTGAAGGGGAACCTGGAAAGGGAGCTGAGGGGACCCCCAGGAGATGGAGGAGGCTTGGAGTATAGGAAGGAGGAAGGGGGAGCAGTAAGCCCAAAGCCCAGTGTCTGGAAAACAAGTTTGTCCAGGGGAGTGGCCACACTATGGCCAGCAGTCGGGCCCCAGAAGCAGGTCTCTAACTCAGACTTGGGCTGTGGATCTGAGGATAGTGAGGTGCAACCCTCCAGGTATGAGCAGTAGGGGCAGGTGCTGAGCTACACACTGTTTCCAAGGCCACGCCAGGGATGCTTAGAAGCCCTGCAGGACCCATAACCCCATGCTACTGTAGCTTCTACTCTCCTTCTTCATTTTCCAGAGCAGTCACTCTGGATCAGACAGAGGACACAGGGTGTGGCTCAGGACTCGCTCCTTCCTGTATTTACTGGCAAGCATGTATTGAGTAACTACTGTATACCTGGCCCTATGCTTGTCCCAGGGATACTGTGATGCACCTGAGAGAGTGGACAGGTGGGCACACCAGCAGTTGCTATAGGCTATTCTAGATTCTGAGAGTGCACAGTGCAGGGAACTCCTGGCATGGACAGGAGCTGAAGGCCGGAGAGAGAGGCTCCCTGGGGAGCTGGCCTGGAGCACAAATTCTAAACAGGGGTGGGAGGAAGCCAGGCAGGCAGAAGGCTGTGAGGTGGGGACCCTTGGGGCAGTGACAGCATGTCAGAGGGGCTGTGGCAGGCAGGGCTGGAGAAGGACAGGGTGACTCACAGGGACTTTTGTGGAAGTGAAGACCTGGCAGCCTGCGTTCCTGGGCCCACCCTCTCCCAGGATTGTGTCTTTGTGATGTGGGTTTCCCGGGACCCCTAGGTGACACCCAGAGAACACTCAGAGCAGAGAGGTGGTGGGGGAACTGTGAAGGGTGGCTGTAGCTGAGGGCAGAGTGTCTCTGTGCTGCCCAGTACGTAGTGCTGCAGAACAAAGATACCACATGTACCAAGCCTGAGCTGTGCCAGGCCCGGGCCTCCTCCCTAGGGGCTCCCTCCCTAGGGACTCCCAGAGGCAGAACCAAGCCTAGCCCATGGACCAGAGTTTGCTCTTCACCTTGTGACAGGAGAAAGTCGAAAATTCTAGTTCTGTGGCTGCAGAGAAGGCCTGTTCAGGATGGAGGTAGTGGTAAACTGAGGCCTGACAGGTTAGTTGGGTGGGGACAGTGGGAAGGCGGGCTGGGGCCCTGTCCTCTGTTGAGGGTAGCTGTGGCCTGTTGGACCTGTGGTAAACACAGAAGCAGGGAGTGAGCCTCATAGGGACTTGCTCTGAATCATGGGGGAAGTGACCCTGCTTGCCTTGTGCCCTTGGCCTGGTCCCTCCCTGAGACCCTCATCCAGTCCCTGCTGCTGGTGGGGATAGGTCTCCTGGCGAGAGTGAGTCTCCATGAGGTTCAGACTCTTCAACAAACTGGTTTTACTTTTAGGGACTTATCTTTAAACAGTTCCTTTAAAGGAAGAAATGAAATAAATCCTCTAGACCTAGCAGTCATCTCCCAGTCCCTGTCAGGATGGATCTGGTCACTGGTACTGGCCCAGAACCCACCCAGCCCTGGGGTGCCCCCTCGCCTGGTCTGGCTTGGTCTATGCGGGCAGCCCTGCTTGGACACTTCCCGGACTGGATCTGTTTCTGAGGCCCCACCCCTCCTCATCTTGGCTCCTCCGCTCTCTCCCTCCTGCCTCTCCTACTCTCTATCCACATCCATTCCGGCCACCTGAACACTCCCAGGAGCTGCCAACCACATGACCCTTGGAATGGTAGTGAGTCCTTCTTAGTGGCCCTCGTCTACCTGTGCAAAAACAGGCTGTCATCTGACCCTGCTGAGATCCTTCCAGCTGCTCCAACAGTGGCTTGCCCCTACCCGTCTGCATCTACCAGCCCCTGTTGTCCTCTTCTGTCCCATCTCTTCCCCAGTCTCCACCTACCCTCTTCCCTGACCCCCTCTGGTGTCCCCTCCAGTATGATGTCCGCTCCACTGCTCACCCCTGAGCCCTCTTCCTCCAGCTCACTGCATGATGATGCTCTGTGGTATCTTTTTTTAACAGCGTTATTGAGATATAATTCCCCACTGTAAGACTCACCCATTTAATGTGCATAATTCAAAGGTTTTTAGTACATTCACAAGAGTTGCACAACCATCACCATTAATTTCATAGCATTCTTGTCACCTCACAAAGATACCTCCTATCCCTTTTTGAGTGGTCATTTTTTTTTTTTTTGCGTTGGAGTCTCACTCTGTCGCCCAGACTGGAGCACCGTGGCCGCTCCCGGCCACCGCAGCCTTGACCTGCTGGGCTCTGGCGATCCTTCCGCCTCAGCCTTCCAAGTAGCTGGAACTACAGGTGCGCGCTACCACGCCCGGCTAATTTTTTTGATTTATTGTAGAGATGAGGTCTCGCCAAGTTGCCCAGGCGGGTCTCGAACCCACGGGCTCAGGCATTCCACTCACCTCAGCCTCCCAAGACGCAGGATTACAGGCTGAGCCACCGAGCCTGGCTTGAGTGGTCATTTTTGCTCCCTGTCATCCTGTCCTCCAACCCTAGGGAACCACTTGTCTATCTTCTGTTTCTATAGATGTGCATGTTCAAGTCATTGGTATAAACGGGATTTGTATTATTTTTGTGTCTCCCCCACCAGGAGGGCAGGGGTGTTTACTTCCCTTATTCGTTTATGTGCCCTTAGTTCCTGGCATGTGGTAGCACAGTAGACTTTTGTAGAACCTTTCTGAATGTATAGTTTCATACATTTTAAATGTTGTGCAGTCATCACCAATATTCATCTCCAGAACTCTTCCGTCATCCCAAACTGAAGCTCTGTTCCCACTAAACACTCACTCCCTATTCCCCCTCCCCCTAGCACAAGCATTCTACTTTCTGTCCCTATTGTCATTGATCTGACAGGACACAAATATGTATTTACAAAGATTATCCCCGAAGTACAGCTTGTCATTATAAAAATTTGAGGGGGAGTAATAGTCATAATTAAAGAATTGATTAAAAATGATATGCCATCTATTTAACTGATAGAGGGAATCTCTAATGTCCTGCAAAAAAATTTCTATTGTATTAAGTACAGAAATTGTTATCAAATAGTATGTCTCAGGCCGGGCACAGTGTCTTACACTGTAATCCCGGCACTTTAGGGGGCTGAGGTGGGAGGATTGCTTGACTCCTGGAGTTCAAGACCAGCCTAGGCAACATAGTGAGACCTCATAACTATGAAAATTAAAATAAGAAAATTAGCCAGGCATGGTGCTGCACGCCTGTAATCCTAGCTACTCGGGAGGCTGAGGTGGGAGAATTTCTTGAGCCCAGGAGCTCCAGGCTGTGATGAGCTGTGATCATGTCACTGCACTGCAGCCTGAGAGGCAGAGCGAAACCCTGACTCAAACAAAACAACAAGAAAAAATCAAATAGTATGTCTCTATTTTACAAAAATTTTTAACATGGTAAAACTTTTGTAAACAGTAATAAAAGCAATAAATGTTCTTTTTTCATTGTGGCAAAATAGATGTAACATAAAATTTACCATTTGAAACCTTTCTGAGTGTACAGTTCTGTACATTTTCGTTGTTGGTCAATAATGACCGCCATCTATCTCCAGAACTTGTGCGTCATCCTAAACTGAAACTCTGTTCCTATTAAACACTCACTCCCCATTCGTCCTCCCCTCCTTCTACCCCTGACACCTGCCATTCTACTTTTTGTCTCTCTGAGGTCCTTTAGGGATCGCATATAAATGGAACCACACAGGATTTGTCCTTTTGGGACTAGCTTATCCCACTTAGGATCATGTGTCTTCAAGGTTCATCCTTGTTGTACAATGTGTCAGAATTTCCTTCTCTTATAAGGCTGGGTGATAGACCTTTATATGTAATTAAATGTTATTTTGTTTGTTTATTTATTTTTTAGGGACAGGGTCTTGCTCTATCACCTAGACTGGAGTGCAGTGGCGTGATCATTACTCACTGTAATCTTGGACTCCTGGGCTCAAGCCATCCTCCTTCCTCAACTTCCCAAGTAGCTGGGACTATAGGCATGTTCCTCTGTGCCTGGCTAATTTTTTTATAAATATATATATTTTTTGTAGAGATAGGGTCTCACTATGTTGCCCAGGCTGGTCTTGAACTCCTGAGCTCAAGTGATCTCCCACCTTGGGCTCCTAAAGTGCTGGAATTACAGACCTGAGCCAACATGTCCAGCTTTAAATGTTATTTTAAATAAGAGATTTGCAGGAACACTCAAAATAGTAAAATACCTAAGAATAAATTTTATAAGAAGGTGAAAGAGACGGATGCTGAAAACTATGAAACACTGAAAAAAATTAAAGAAGACCTAATTAAGTGGAAAGATATTCCATGTTCATGGATTGGAAGACTTAATATAATAGGATGGC